GGGCCCCTTGAGCTCATATTCTCATCGCCGTAATTCAATTAGATCCTTCACTTACAGCACAGAAGCCTCTCAGAGCTGTTATGGCACGCTATGTGCTGCTGATACGCACAATGCTGTTTTATTTTTTAAATCATGGCATGTGTTCACTAAGAGGAGAGGAAGAGGGAATGTGCAGATTTATTTTGTATTTGATAAAGGCCACATTGATCCCTTTTGTCTGTATTCAGTGCACATACTTTCGTCTTAGAGTTAATGGGATATTATAAGGAATGTTTGTTTTGAATGTCAGTGAGCTCCACTTTGACCTTCAATTGATTTAGTCCTTGTAACTCAGATGTATTCTCTCACCATTGTGAGTCATCTCTATCAGGGCTGATTCTTGTAAATTGTAGATTTTAATTGCAAAAAAAAATTACATGAGATTACCTATTTATGAACTGATTTCAAGACGAGCCCGTGCTTATGATTGAACACTGCTGGTCCAGCATTAGCTAATACAGGATCCACCGATCAGCCAATTCCTAACTCATCGTAAATAACCAGAAATTCTTACCTCAATATCTTTATTTTGAAGAATCCCCCTTCCACACATCTACTTCTCAGTGCTTTCTAGACAGCGCGGCATGGTGGCCCAGTGATTAGCACTGAAGCCTCACGGCAAGAACGTCACTTGTTCAAGTCCTTACCAGGTCAGCCGACATTTCTATGTGAAGTTTACATGTTCTCCTCGTGCTCGCGTGGGTTTCCCCCCAGGTTCCCTGTTTTCCTCCCACCGTCCAAAGACATGCGACATACAGTTGAAGTCAGAATTATTAGCCCCCCTGAATTATTAGCCCCCCTATTTATTTTTTCCCCAATTTCTGTTTAATGGAGGGAAGGTTTGAACACATTTCTAAACATAATAATTTTAATAACTCATTTCTAATAACTGATTTCTTTTGTCTTTGCTGTGATGAGAGTAAATAATATTTTACTAGATATTTTTTCTAGATACTTCTAAACAGCTTAAAGTGACATTTAAAGGCTTAAATAGGTTAATAAGGTTTACTAGGCAGGTTAAGTTAACTAGGCAAGTTATTGTAAAACAATGGTTTGTTCTGTAGACCAGCGGAAAAAAAATATCTTAAAATGGTGATACATTTTTTTCAAACTGCTTTTATTCAAGTCGAAATAAAACAAATAAGACTTTCTCCCGAAGAAAAAATATTATCAGACACACTGTGAAAATTTCCTTGCTCTGGTAAACATAATTTGGGAAATATTAAAAAAAAAAAAAAGTCAAAGGGAACTAATAATTCTGACATCAACTGTTGGTGAATTGATCAAACCAAATTGGCTTTATAGACGAGCTCTAGTCAGCTGTATATTTCCATAGCCATTGATTTTTTGCCATTTATAAGCAGGGGAGTTTTTGAGATCTACCCGAGTTCAGAATCCCCTCTCACCTTTCTATCAGGAGGTAGTCTCTGGCTCGAGGATCTTTTGAGCTCAGGGCTCTCTCCCGGGACTCTAAAATTAAGACCATTTTTTAAGACGTTTTTGTAACTGCAGTTATATCACACATACTTCATGCAAATGCAACAATATTTACTAGTGGCTGTTTTCATATTTGAACAATGTTTTTGCTTTCTCGTAATTGTAACGTTGTTTTCATTAGTAATATTTGTTTGATTCTCAAATTGGTGATTTATTTGTTGTTATTAATGGAGACTTAAGGGTCTTTTTTGTCTATTCTGTTTCTATATCACAAATTTTAATATATTTCTTATTAATGCTAATTTATTTCCATAAAATATGACTTACAGTGTAACTTTAAATTTCTTGTAATTGCAACTACATAAATGTAACATTATCATAAATGTACATTATTACCTGCAGTTTCTATAATATTTGTGTCTTACAATTGCAGTAAAATGATATAACCTTGACATCATTGTCTTGTAATTGGAATTTTATCTCAAATATGAGGCTTGAAACAATGATAGTGAGTAAATGAAGTTTATTTTCAGTTGAACTGTCCCTTTAATGTATTTTGTTCATGTTGTTCTTCAAGTGTCTGCACATAAATCTGAAATTTCAACTACTTAAAATGGAACACGGTGCATTTGAGATGAGGATGTAAATATGTATGTGTGCTTACAGGCTAAATCTGACCTGTTTTACATGCAGGTAAGGTGTAGCTGATGTAGTCACAACGCCTTTTCAGGGCAAACAGTCAAACCTGATTCTTGATCAAAAGGAAGATGAAGGTCTTGGCTCATATCAAGCTCCTGAAACATATTTATCACCTTAGAGGTTAAAACTGCTCCTGAAACATTTACTTCAGTCATGTACTCAACCTCCATTTGTTCTAAACATGAGTTTTTTTCTTCTGATGAACACAAAATACTGTATATTCTAATGAATGTTAGAAAACGGGAGCCATTGACTTCCATTCTTATAATGTATGTAAGAAAATAAAAACTTAAAACAATTAAGTTGTCCCAAAAAATCCTCAATAATTGTGTTGTTTAAGCTCATTTTAAATAAGTAGTTTAAACAAATGGCAAACATACTTTTTTGAGTGCACGATTCATGTCTTGTAATAATTCAACTAGTGGGATTGACAGCTTAGATGAAGCAGAATGGTGTGATCTTCATCCTAATGACAGCTAGTTGCTCGGATGCCAATGACAGTTTGGTTTGTCATGCATTGGCCTGCTTTAAAAAAGACCACGAGGAGGTGGTACAACAGAAGAGATGTGTGTGTGAATGAAATCATGCCAGTACTGTGTGTTCCCAAAGCAGCATGTTCACATGAATGCCATTTTAGGACGGCATTGTGGAATATGAGCTTTTTTGGATCACTGTGATGGTTATTATTGTAATATCATTTTAAATAGAGAGTTGGGAAAGTAGGTCAGAGAACTTGATCCTGTAGCCCACACACATGCAGCTCTTCCCACCACATGCGAACAGTCATATTTTTTAACATCGAGTTAAAGGTTTGAGGATGTTAGGGCTTTATGAGGAAAAAAGCCTGCGGTCACATATAGAAGGGGGGGGGGGGTTGTACAGAATTGTACAGTGAGTGTTTGCCCCATGCTGAATGGTTCTTTAGTGCCCCCTAGTGCTGTCATATATTCATGTTTACCAAAAGAATTCACCTGAGATGGTGAAAGTGAAGGAGAATTGTGCTACTGACAGAAGCAAAAATTAAAATCAAGAATATTTTAGCAATTTTAACGGTCATTGACATGAGAAGCTTTGTTATTGCCTGGAGCTGTTCAGAAATGCATTATATAAGCAATGGCCTGAATGTACGCAATTATGAATGATTATTTTGTTGCAATTAAAATTCATTTATATGTTTTCGTGGTATTTCAAGTTAAAGAATGTCTAGGTCTGACTGAAATTGTAATACAAAAAAGGCTCATTCAAATTCTGAAATTCTTGAATGGTGGAAGCAGTAACGTAAATGAGCTTTTTCGTATACATGCAGGGTCCTATTTGGTTATAAGATATAAACATTAAACAGTAAATTATTTTAATAATGATTAAATGAATGATTCAAATCAGAAAAATACTAAAAACACTTGACCTTCAAAAAGAAGACAAAAACAAATATTTCTATTAGATTTGCAGTTTAATAAATTTTACAGATTTATTTGAAGAAATAATCTTTAAAAAAAAATAAAACATTTCTAGTGGGTGACACAGTGGCCTCACACTGTCGCCTCACACCTAGAAGGTCACTGGTTTGAGTCCCGGCTGGGTCAGTTGGCATTTCTGTGTGGAGTTTGCTCTCCCTGTGTTCACGTGGGTTTCCTGCAGATGCTCTGGTTTCCGCCACAGTCCAAATACATGTGCTATATGTAAGTGAATTGGGTAAACAAAGTTGGCCGTAGTGTATGATTGAAAGTGTGTATGGGTGTTTCCTAGTACTATAATAAACGAAAAACAAATAAATGTGTGCAAGTCTAGTTAAATATATTAGTTAAATAATATTAAAATGGTAAATTAAAAAAAAAATTATATATTATAATACAAATATACTAGTACTTTTTACTTGGTTTCAGTACATTTAAAAAAAAAATTAATCATCTTTTATAATTAATTGTGAAATTTACTAGAATTAAATAAAAAATTACAAGCAAAAAATATTTTAAAAATATAGAAATTAAGTTAATTAAATTACTATATGAATGAATCAATGAACGAATAAACAAATGAATGAATGAATGACTGAACGAAGGAACAAGTGAAGTTTGTTTATAAACTAATTTCGAGAGATCACATGCTTATGATTGCTTGCGACTGGTCCCGCATTATCCAATCTAGAATTCACCAATCAGATGATTCCTAAGCCACTATAAATACCCTAAGTTTCCTATAACAGCCATCTTCATTTTGAAGAATCCCCCCTTCCACCCCTTATCCTCCTTATTTATTAGAAAGGTGACATGGTGGACCAGTGGTTAGCACTGTTGCCTCACAGCAAGAAAGTCACTGGTTTTAGTCCTTACCAAGCCAGCCGACGTTTCTGTGTGGAGTTTACAAGTTCTCCCCGTGCTCAAATGGGTGTCCTCCGAAATACCCGGTTTTCTCCCACTGTCCAGAAACATGCAACTTAAGTTAATTGACTAATCCAAATAGGCACAATAGACATACTCCTAGTAAGTAGTTATCTTGTAAGAGCAATCACTATCTGTTCCTTAGCTACTACAGCAGGGGAGTTCTCAAGATCTACATGAGCTCAAACTCCCCTCTCACCTTGCATACGGGAGGGAGCCCCGGGCTTGAGGATCTTATGAGCTCAGGGCTCTCTCCCGGGAGAGCATGCCAAACAAGCTTTATGATCAATCATCAGCTAAGGGTGAACTCATGAAACGAATGAAAGAACGAATGAACAGTCAAGTTGTAGGAATGTTTACCTTTATCATTACATTTCTTGACATTTTGAATCATCTTTGTATATTTGTGATCTTTATTTTTTTAACTTAGATCTTCCTCTGTTTCAGATATGGAGACATGGTTCCTAAGACCATCATGGGGAAGATCTTTGGCTCTATTTGCTCTCTGAGTGGCGTGTTGGTGATCGCTCTTCCCGTTCCTGTCATCGTGTCCAACTTCAGCCGGATCTACCATCAAAGTCAGCGTGCAGAGAAGAGACGTGCCCAAAAGGTACCCTAAACACTGTGATCTCACAGAACTCAAATGTAGATGTTCTCCCAAACTACAAGCAGGTCCGGCTGTGGCAAAAAGATTAGACCCTGACAGGACCATGTACACACAGACACAGACAAATGACACTGGGATAGTATTTAATACAACTTGGCACAATGTGCTTGTGACCCAGATGTCTGCATGTTGAGCGTGTGTGTGTGGATGTGTGTGTGTGTGTCTCTGCGGTATGTTAACTGCAGGCCTCTGTGGATCCATCATTTCTAGTGCATGCCCAGATCCCATCCATACCTCAGCACAGCAGACAGAAACACAAACACACAGAAACAAGAGCGACAGCAGCATGCCAGATAGCAGGAAATTAGAAGAGAGAGACTGAATGAAACGGATGAGAAAACGGCCACATACACACTGCAGTATGTTTAAAGACAAAACCTTCACATTAAGAGGTAACACAAGTTATTTGGTGACATGAATCACTTTGTTTGTTGTTGGTTCTACACCCTTTTCAGTACCTTAAAGGTAACTCATTACCTATCAAATTAAGTGCACTCAAGTCTGGTTGAAGTGCGAGGAAAATATGTTAATACCTTTTACTGATGGTTATACTACATTATATTGTTACACTCATGTTTTGCTTACACTAGTTGATATTGATTTGTAATGTATACTAATTTATAATTGAATTATACATAATTTACATAGTTAAACATCTTTGGTAAAGGGATAGATCACCCAAATCTGAAAATTCTGCCATCATTTACTCACCATGAACTTTTTGGTTCTGTTGAGCACAAAAGAAGATATGTTGGAAACCGGTAACCATTGACTTCCATAGTATTTGTTTTTCCTACTATGGAAGTCAATGGTTACAGGTTTCCAACATTCTTCAAAATATCTTTTTTTGATTTATCGAACTATCCTCTTATTCATCTGAACGTTTATTTGTTAAACTTACAACACTTTTAGGATTCCTGTTACCTCAAACTTTAGCTGCCAATAAGCTGCACACAGTTCAGTGTTTGCTTGAGAAGCGCGTGCGATGTCACAACGCAGTGGTGACTAAATTGGCATATTTTAATGCTTAGCTTCAGGATTATTTAAAAAGGAATGATTCAATTAATTCTGAAACCTCAATTAATCTGATTACTTTTGCAATTAAATTTAAATGCAACTTTTACAGCCCATCTGCACAGCGACTGCCATTATAATCAATGAAGTTGTACTTGCACACTACATTTACAGCCGGTGCATTAGCCTGCGGTTTAGACATCTGAATTTATTACAGCAGGAGTGTTGATCTGATTACTTGACTGTTTCTTCACTGCCTGAAATAAAGATACAGAGTTGTCACTTGTGCAAAAGGTACATTTTTGTGCCTATAGAGTTCATATTGGTAATAAATAGACAGAAAATGTACTGTACTACCCCCAGTGACAGCTTTTGTACCTTTATTCAAACACAATCTCATGGCAGTTCATACCTTTTTGATTCAGTGGCTAATTCGTATGATCTTATCCATACAATTTAGTACGTTTTGCTCATCCCCCAAGGATGGTTGGGTGCCACGCCTATTTTTTAAAATCAAACATTTTTGTACAACTGAACTACGAATTCAAACAATTAAGCCTAACTGACAAAACGTATCATAGTTACGTTTCCTCATGAGATCAGGCTGTTATCCTTGTGTAAGGTTGTTAAATATGAAAGAAAATATATGCTCATGTGAAAATAAGTACTAAGCTCAAATCTTACTCAATAAAAGGTACCTGGTCGAAAATATATTTGAGTAAAAATTTGATTTAGTACAGCTTTAAATTGCACTTAAGTATTACAAATTAAAAGTATTTTATAGCCAAAATAAAAACAAGAGAGCAAATTCTTGTTTCCTGATATTTATTCACCACCCAAAGCAAATACATTAATAATATGTGAAAATAGGTACTGAGCCCAAATATTACTCAATAAAAAGTACCTGGCTGAAAATATACTTGAGTAAAAGGTATAAATTGCAGCTTTAAATTGTACTTAAGTATTAAAAATTAAAAGTACCTTATAGCAAAAATAAAAACAAGAGAGAAAATTTTTGCTTCATTATATTGAATCCCCTTCCAGTGCAAATGCATTAATATGTGAAAATATAGGCAATGAGCTCGAATTATATTGTTTAAAAAGTACTTGGTTAAAAATATACTTAAATTAAATGTATAAATTTAAATAGGGTATATGCGGAAGAATGCGGAATGACTTCTTAAAGTTTGTCAGTAAACTGGGTCCAGCGCTTCCGGTGAATTGTATGTCATTACAAAATCAGCGCATTTAAGGTCTGTTTTCTTTCAAAATCAGCGATCTCCACTGCCTCTTTAAAACTTGAACATTTTACTCCAGTATATTCAAAGGAGATTCTGTGCTAGCCTCTGAATCCAGATGGGCTTGTGCGTGTTAAACAACTTTTTGTCTCGTTTTTCGCTTGAGCAACTAAATAAATGCTGAGTTCTATTTAACTGATTATATTTTAAGTACATTACAACATCGATGCTGTAAAAGCAACCGTATGAAATGGACAAAAGTCACATTAACCGTTCACCCAAAGGTTATCAGTATGGGAAGAAACATATATCTGCATATACCCTATTGTACGTAAGTTTAAAAAGTAAATGTACCCTATAGAAAAAATAAAAACAAGAGAGGAAATTCTTGTTTCATCATAGTGAATCACCTTCCAGTGCAAATACAGTAAATATACATGAAAATATAGGTACTGAGCTCAAATCTTACTGAATAAAAAGTACCTGGTCGAAAATATACTTGAGTAAAATTTTAAAAAGTACAGCTTCAAGTATTTAAAGAGTAAAAGTACCCTATGGTAAACTAAAAACAATATTGGAAATTATTGTTTCATCATATGAATCACCTTCCAGTGCAAATACATTAAATATATGTGGAAATATAGAAACTGAGCTCAAATCTAACTCGATAAAAAGTACCTGGTTGAAAATTTGCTTGAGTAAAATTTATAAAACGCAGCTTTAAACTGTACTTAAGTATTTAGAAAGTAAAAGTTCCCTATAGTAAAAAAAAAAAAAGCATAAGAGGAAATTATTGTTTAATCATATTGAATCCCCTTCCAATGCAAATACATTAAATCTATGTGAAAATATAGGCACTGAGCTCAAATATAATTTAAAAAATGACCTGGTTGAAAATATACCTAAAAAAATGTATAAAGTACAGATTTAAATTGTACTTAGGTATTTTAAAAGTAAAAGTACCCTATAGTAAAATACTATAGATTTCTAAATCTAGAAAAAAATAGAAATTCTTTCAGTGCAAATACATTAAACGAATAAGAGACATTCAATTAAAACAGCAGAATATCATAATGACATATTAACAAATGTTGTCAGAATGACAAATGTTATGATAAAAAAATTAACACAATTTCCAGAGAAAAATCCACAGAAATATAGAGCTTTCAAATGGTCTCATCAGTTTTTTTTCATAGCTGAAAACAGTCGTAACATTGATTATGCGTTTACCACATTTTAAAGTCCATAAGATTTAAAAAAAAAAAGGTGTAAAAATGTAACTAGTACTTTGAAAGTAAAATAAAATTGTAGGTTTTGTAAATGTATGCTCAAATTAAAGGACAAAAAGTCAGTACAGTAAGAATCTCCAAAAAGCACAGTAAACAAGTAAAATCAACCCACGTGTATGAGAGTATAAAACAGAGGTGACTTCTGAGGCTAAAACCTTGAAAAGCTCTTGACTGTTCGTGCCTATTAAACTAGTCTTATACATGATTAGCCTGTCATCAGTGTTATAAATGATCGAACTGTGTGTACAGGACAAAATGAGACACTAATAGAAGTGTGTTTTTATCAGCAGTGTGTACGTGGCCATTGAGAGCAGGCACCGGAAGAGCAGATGCTGTTCTGTGGCCTGTTCTCCTTTGGGGGTGATCAGGACTCACAGACGTACTGACATCACATCATCTCTCATTACAGGAGTGTCTTCTCTTAATTTAGCTGTTCGACTTCAGCCAGCCCTCGGGAGGCACAAACAGTTCAGAAATCCCAGTCCCCTCTGTGAGATAAACAGAACAAGCAATCCACCCAAGAACAACAGTCTGTTTTTTCAGTTTACCAGGGACTGGGAGTGAGAGTAGGAGAGATGGGAGAGGAGGTGAAGGATGTAACAATACCACAATTTCTGTAGCCAGTAGGAATAGCAGTAAACTTTTACAGTGCTTATAAAAAAATGAAAAAGAAAATTTTATATATATATATATATATATATATATATATATTAATATTTTAATCAATAGATATTTTAGCCAATTCAAAGATCTGATGTTTTGACACAAGTGCAGATGTTTGTTCTGCTGATTTTTACAGATATTTAAAAGGAAATTATCTTTTTATAATAAATCTTCTTTGTTTTATTTTGTTTTTATGAACAAAATATAAATAAATTTTCTTGTTTTATTTATATTTAACTATTCTGTTGTATTATTGCTATAGTACTTACAGCAAAAGTAAGTATTCAACACGTCACCATTTTCCTTGGTTCCATCTATCCAAACTAATCTTTATTTTGAACTTTCTATTGGATTTGAGTCAGGTGATTGGCTAGGCCATTCTGCAGCTTGATTTACTTTCTCTGAAAGAATTAGAGAGTTTCCTTGTCTGTGTTTTGGATCAGTGTCTTGCTGAAATGTTCACTATGTTCTCCTCTTCATCATCCTGATAATGTAGATGTTGGATTGAAGCAGTTAATATTAATTTACAATCATGAAGGGCAGAGTGTTGCTGAAGGACTTCTAAGAGATTTCAGCTGCTGTCTGGGCTTTCACTGCCTTTCAATACCTTACTTACTTCATGTGTTTAATATTTTTTAATGTCTCAATTCATTTTATTACACTTAATTTGTCAACTCATTAGATTTTTTTTTCATTTATGCATTTATTCAGTTGTTTTCAACATTTGGTGAAAATTTATAAATATGTTTTCTGAGAAAAATGGTGACATGTTGAATAAATTTTTTTTTTACCCACCATATATATATTAGTCACAAAAGGGGGTCGCACACCAAATGCGTGGCTTGGCGACGCACCCCCATGCATTTTGGAATTCTCAACAGATTTTTTTTCAGCATACGCCCACTGGTGCTACAAGTTGGCGGCTGTCCGCTGCGACCAGCAGCGACTCAGGACACTGTTCATATTTCTGCCGCGCCACAGAGCGCCATCTGAATAGTTTCATTTTAAATAACATGCGAATGTGCGCGTCTGGTGTGCGATACTTCCAACTGTTATGTCGCGCCGCATTCAATGTACGATTCACTTAAGGTTGCATTTATTTTATCAGAAATACAGAAATATTATTAGTTTGTAAAAATTATTTTATTCCCAGAATAAAAAAAATAAAAAAATCATTGTATTTTATTGCAGATATTTTATCTATTTTATTTTATTTTAAAATGAACATTTCCCTGTCACTACAAAGTAGAATTTTTAGTACCAAAATTGTGTACTTGCTAATTTTTGTGTAATATGTTTATTTTAATATTTTATGTTTAACATTAGCATTAGAATTGTCATTGTCTCTTTAAATCATTTGAAACCAATAATTGTCTGAATCTTGAATATGAGTATTATTTTCTTCCAAAAAAAATAAAAAATAACCCTAAGTTTTTAAATGTTATATTACTTTTATTATTAGTAAAATTAAATACAATTATTCTATTAAATTATTAGCCCTTCTTTTATTTTTTTCTCTTTTCAATATTTACCAAATGATGTTTAACAGAGTAAGGAAACTTTCACAGTAATTCTGATAATATTTTTTCTTCCGGATAAAGTCTTATTTCTTTTATTTCGGCTAGAATAAAAGCAGCTTGTAATTTTTTAAAAATCCATTTAAAGGGTCAAAATTATTCGCCCTTAAAAAAATAGATTTTTTTCCGATAGTCTACAGAACAAACCACTTGCCTAATTACCCTGTCCTGCCTAGTTAACCTAATTAACCTTATTAAGCCTTTAAATGTCACTTTAAGCTGAATACTAGTGTGTTGAAAAATATCTAGTAAAATATAATTAACTGTCATCATGGCAAAGATAAAATACATCAGTTATTAGAAATTAGTTATTAAAACTATTATGTTTAGAAATGTGCTGAAAAAAATCTGCTCTCCGTTAAACAGAAAATGGACAAAAAAAATAAACAGGGGTGCTAATAATTCTGACTTCAACTGTATATATGGTGTCAAAATGTCAACTATCTCAGTATAGCTCTAATCACAATACAGAACGACTGGTATTGTTACACCTTTTCACGAATCTGCACACTGCACATTGCCATTCTTCATGTCAGACGTGAGCATGCAAACATCAGTCAGCAACATGCACACATTGCTCAAGAGAGGAGGAGGAGGAGTTGTTCGGCTAAACGCCCGTGTGTTTGTCCACCTGAACAGAAAACCAGGCTTGCTAGAATTCGTGCGGCGAAGAGCGGCGGCGCTAACGCTTATTTGCAGTACAAACGCAATGGGATGCTGGTGGACATGGAGGAGGAGGTAACGGTGGAAACCAAGCCGTCGGGGTCTCTTTTAATGGAACATGACATGATGGGCTGGTGCTGGTGCATGCGGACCCCTCTTTCCCCCCTCTCCACCAGGGGGCCGGGGTCCGGCAGGGCTGTCCCCATTCAACGCTTCAGTGGTGTTTCTCTAACTCTCTCTATCTTTCTCGCTGTCTTTCGCTCTTCTTTCTCACACCTAGACCAGGTGCACCGGTCATCAATAATCGTGTGACCTCTTGTTCGATGGCAGTGCGGTGCATGCGGCTTTGGCCTTGCCGGGGGCCACGGACATCCGCTCCAGTACCGACGGGGCCCCCCTGTTTTTTACTGCAACCCTTTTCTCCATCTCTCAACTACTTTGGTTTTTTGGGTTTTTCTCTCGTCTACTTGCTTTTTTTTTTTTTCCAACTTTCAACTACTACTCTTGTGCTCCATGCATTTTTTAACATGCATTTTTTTTCTCACGGCTGTCCGAATTGGCCTGTGCTCTGTGTGTGTCTCTCTCTCTTTCCCTCTTCATGACATCATCAGAACGCATCACATGGAGGAATGAAATTGTCTGAGCTGCATGTCATTGATTGGCCAACATCTGAATGGGAGGCGGGGTTTAAAGTGAGGCAGAGACCATGTGGTTGTGTTGATTGAGTGCCTGTTCAGTGCTCACCATAAGCGGGCTCTCGGTGAATGACGCCCTGGTTCAGGAGTGTCTTAATCCTGCTCCTACAGGGTCATTGTCCTGCAAAATGTAGCTCCAGTGCTTGACCTGTCAACACCCATAGCCTATTAAGCAGTGTGCCAAAATATACCACCAATGCACTTCCAAATTTGAGTCCTGGCTCATGGACTTTACCTGATAATACCCCTTTCTCACTCATCAACTTTGCTTTCTATCTAGCCACACTTGACCCAAATAATTAAGGTCTGCATTCAAAATCACATGCATCCACACTATGTAGTAGGCAAAAAAATAGTATGTCAAAAATAGCAGCCCTAAGTGCACACTTCATTCAATAAGGCTACTTTTGTCTCTCAGGGGAACTCTTTTTGTTTTAATATTGTAGTGTTGTCATGATACTAAATTTCAGTACCATTCGGTACTGGCATTTTTAAAAATATATATTTCCCGGTAACATTCAAATGCAGTTGAACACATTCTTAAACACTGCTGATTTGCCATTGTGTTCACGTGCTCAACAGAAATGACTGTGATTGGCTGTGACGGTCATCATTTCACCACACTTCACTTCTGTGTATGTTAGCTGGAAATTGGTACTGACATTCACTGTTATCAACACTGTTATCGGATGAGCTTTATCATATGGTGCTCTTTTTATCCCATAAAGTCTTGTGAGATGATTTTTGTAATGTGAACAATGCTAATGACTGTTAACATGTCAACATGGCCATACGTAACAACTTTACCTATGTACCTTCATACCTAAATACATCTTATATGTTAAGGCTATTTACAATACAACAGTGTTTGAAAATGTTTCTGAAAACAAAACAACTGTAATCTCTGTAAGAGGAGGTTGATCTGTAAGTTCTTGGGTTATGATGGAGCTAAACTTTGCAGGATATTGATAGCTAAACGAGAGCAGGATTGCACACCCCTGCCCTAGTCTGGTCACTGTGTCATACTGATTCATTAAGGCTCTTATAAATGTAGGTGCAGTGGCTGTCATGGTTCAAATACAGCAGATGCTTATTTAGCCGAACTTGTACACATACTTTTCTAAACAATTAGTATCTCTTGAATATTTATTCATTAGACATTTACAGAGACGGAATATGTCCTTTTGTCCACTGTGTTTGAACTAACAGCCATCTATCAAGGTTATGGTGTTGAGAGATCAAGATGGACCATTGATTCTGAGCCTACCATTATCACAATGAGCCAGCCTTTCTCGACACTGTCTATGTTGCTGGATCATTGTGAGAATTTGAGCATTGGTGTCATTGGTCTTGTCTTTTCTCTCGGTTTCTTTCTTCTCTGCTAAGTTAATAAGAACTGTTTTCTGTTTCTTCAATAAGGCATCCAAAGAGGCGGGACAAGCTTTGGTATGTAAGGCCAACCCCACATTTGAAACCCAACATCACCATCTCCTGCACTGCTTGGAGAAAACCACGGTAAGAGTCTTTGGAGTGTCTAAAGAGGCATGCTAAGTGTAAAAGACGTTATCTAGTAGGAGCTGTGCGAATAAACGTACTTCCTCATTGGTACACCAATGACTCCCATGCTTTAAACCAGGGGTGGGCAAACTCGGTCATAGAGGGCTGGTGTCCTGCACAGCTTAGCTCCAATTGTAATCAAACACACCTGCTTATAGGTTTTTAGTGATCTTGAAGAAACTGGCTAGCATGTTTAGGTGTGTTTGATTAGTGTTGGAGCTAAACTGTGCAGGACACCTGCCCTCCTAGACTGAGTTTGTCCTCTCCTGCTTTGAAAACTAGTTTGAATTCCACTCAGATCAACGCAAATAGAACCACAGGCTTTAAATTGGTGCCATGACCCGGATCGTGGTGAGGTTTAGGAGTGTGAGTAGTAACAAAGGCCAGATTGTATAAACTGTGCTAGTAAACCTCACTTCCCTGGGCTTTACTTTAGGCATGTCTGCTAGTTCGAATCAAACTATGAGCAGAAATGTGAGCAGAATCGAAAAGATTACGTTAGCATTTCGGTCTCTGTAGAAAATGAAGTTTACTGTTTTACATTCTGTCTTGTTTGTTTATCTTTACTACTTTATAGAAAGTTTAACGGTTACTGGATAGGTAACTGTTGAAATGACACTTTCATCCCAAATATGAAAACAAATTTTCTAAAAATATCTTTACCTAGGGAACAGACTGAAGCATTATTAGCTGCAAAACTTGGCATGATGCACTTGGTTATACCATTATAACCAATGCCGTTTGGCATAATTGGCATTAAAGTGGCGCAGTGGTTTTAGGCATGCCATTAAACATGATATGAAAACTCTGGCAAAGAGAGAAAGATGAGGGTGCCAGAGAACAGAAATTTCATTTTTGCCTTTACCATTAACCAGTGCCAGATTTTAAGCACCTCGGTGCTTTTGGGTTTGCTACAAATAAGTGCAGTTTTTCTCTTAAGAGAAATCATTAGTCAGACACTGGCAGGAAATTGACAGCCACTGTTGTCCCCTGCCAGCTAGACTCATGACAGTCTAGAGAACAGACAGCGACCTGCTCTTGCGTTCCTAGGGCACTAAACTTAAGACAGTACAAAGGAAAATTCCAGTGGATGTAGGACTGCTTGAGAAACAGAAACAGCTTTCAAGACCTCCCTCTGATTCCATATAGAAATATTATATTTGGAAATATATACAAAGGACACATATGACATACAAGTTCATATCTGGATTTTCACATACATAAAATGTGATATGCAACACATTTCAAAGATGGCTGCTTACATATATATTAGGGATGCTCCGATCAGGATTTTTTGGAGCCGATGCTGAGTACCGATCACTCATCATGGTGATTGGCCAATACTAAGTACCGATTCTGATGCTTTAAGGTTTATATAACTTTAACATTGCATAATGCACATTTTCCCTCTAAGTACAATACTTAAATGGAATACTCCAATACTTATATACTTAAGTGGAGCCTTTCCTAAAATAATAAATGGTCACACTTTACAATAAGGTTCATTAGTTAATGTTAGTTAATTCATTTACTAACATGAACAAACAACGAACCATACATTTACTACTGTATTTGTTCATGTTATTTAACCTTAGTTAAGGAAAATACAGTTGTTCATTTGTAGTTCATGTTAACTCACGGTGCACTAACTAATGTTAACAAGCATGGACTTGGATGTTAATAATGCATTAGTAAATGTTCAATTATGATTAATAAGTGCTGTACAAGTGTTGTTCATGATTAGTTCATGTTAGTAAATGCATTATCTAATGAACCTTATTGTAAAGTGTTACCGAATAAATGAAGGATGTTGCATATAAGCACTAAAAACATGTCTGTTATAAACATTGTGCAGACAAGTCATGGTCAGAAACAGCTTTACTGAAAATAATAGATTAAATTGAAAAAAAAGGGTAAGAAAAATGACTGACAATTCAAGTTAGAAACATTGCAAATGATGGTAGAACATGCCTGAATGAAGAAAAAGTTAGGAGTGCATTTTTGATTAGAATGCAACTTCCCCTGCTTGTAAACCCATAAACTAACACTTGTGAATGGTTCATGTGATCGGCCAGATAAGCGAGTACCGATTGAGTCATAAAATGTGATTATCGGCCCGGCCGATACCAATCTCCCGCCAATCGACCGGAGCATCCCTTATATATATATATATATAGATAGATAGATAGATAGATAGATAGATAGATAGATAGATAGATAGATAGATAGATAGATAGATAGATAGATAGATAGATAGATAGATAGATAGATAGATAGATAGATAGATAGATAGATAGATAGATAGATAGATAGATAGATAGATAGATGGATAGATAGATGGATAGATAGATACTATCAAAACTAATATATTTGAACATATTTAAGTCCAATAATTGAAAATAACATATATGTAAATAAACATTCATTGGCATATTGTGATATATATGACATATATTTTATATGTGAAATCGAAATATGAACTTATATGTGTAATTTACAGATACTGCCCTATATTTCCAGGCTTGTGTGATATCTGTTTTAGAGACAAATGTAATTGAGATTTACCATAAGTTCCCATCACCGCTTAACAAAACCTGAACTATTCCTTTCTCTCTCTCAGAATCATGAGTTTGTGGACGAGCAAACCTATGAGACGAGCTGCATGGAGGTTTCTCTTGCGAAGCCATCTATGTCCCGTTCCTCATCGATGTCCTCCTCTCCTCATGGCCTGTCCTCCTGCTGCACGCGCAGAAATAAGCGCAAGAGCTTCAACGTCCCCAATTCCAACATGGCCGGCGGCCGCAGGGGCAGCATACAGGAGCTCAGCACCATCCAGATCAGAGAGAGACCGCTGAGCAACAGGTGCTCTCACAGCACTCATGCACACTGACACAAACACACAAACACAAGGAATATGCTGATATTTTGGCTGTGGTCTGAAAATAGATGAGTCAGAGCTGGGTCTTATTTAGAAGTGTTTATTATAGCGACTTTATTAAGATGCTTGGTTTTCTCCAGGGTTTATATTGCTTGGATATTTTACATAGTTGAAGTTCTTGACAATCCACTGCGTATATTAAAGATCAAGTGCATATTTGTTTTCCAATTAAATTTAAAGATTGGATTAATAACTTTATTTTGGTACAAATATAATTATTCATTTGGAATTAAAGGGACAGCTCACCCACAAATAAAACAAAATTTACTTACACTTCACTTGTCCAGCCGATTCAAATGTTATCACTCGATTGAATGGGCGTTATCAGTTGGTAGATATGGACCAGTAGGGGCCTTCTGCACCAACTAGTATAGGCTCAGAATTTGTCATTCATTCACATGGTTATTGATCACATACGACTACGGCCGGAAGTTAAAAGTAATTATTTATATTATTTATTAAATTTCCCATTTAATAAATTGCATTTTATTAACGTCTACTCCTACCCCAAACCTAAACCCAGCCGTCATAGAAATCTAAAAACAGATCTAGAGTGTTCCCTATTAGTATAGCTGATTATCCTTGTGCATGGGTGATAACAGCCTTCTGAGTCTACCAATAGGTGCAGAAGGCCCCTACTGGACCACATCTATTAGCTGATTGTGCCCATGCAATCGAGTGATAACGTTGGAAGCGGGTGACTTATCACAAACCTCATTTTCTTTTTTCTGTTCAAAACTAAAGAGGATATTCTGACTAAGCTGGAAATCAGTAACTTCAATGCTTTTACCATAGTACCCAGTTACCGGCTTCCAACATTCTTCAAAATATCTTCTATTGTGTTCAACAGAAAAAAGATACTCATGAAGGATTGTGTCACGATCACCAACAATCCAGCCTGTGCAGATCGCTGGTAAACACACAATATTGCATAGAACAACAAATCCGCCATTAAATGGACTACAAGCTCCAGTCATGCACCACTCACACACCTGGCCTAGATCTCCATGATTGCAGACAAACACAGCTAAAGCTACTCATGAACTGATTACTAGGTCTATTTGCACACACACACGCACTTCAGTGCTGAGTCTTGTTAAAACTGAATAGTCAACATTACAACATGTTTTCCTTGCCTTGTTTTGCCGTGTTTTTGACCCTCACCTTGTTTTGTTTGTTTATTCCTGTCTGCTGACTGCCTTTTGACCATCTGCCTGTTTATTTAACTAAGTCTCTGGATTTCCCGTACACATCTGTTTGCTCCCGTGTTGACTGTTATACCCCTGACCATCTCGTAGTCTATTTAATGGCGGATTTGTAGTCCAGGCTGGAGCACAGACTGGATTGCTGGTGATCGTGACAGATTGTAAACATTTGGGATTGTGTTTCATGCATACCGCTTTATATTGTATAGTATGTAGATTGCAGTTTAGTCTGCATAGTATTTAGTATGTAATGGGTAATGCATTATGTAGTACATAATATTTTATACGAATGCTTGTATGCAAATTACATAGGATTCATATATGAAAAGCATAATAGCATAAATAGTGCATGGTATTTGAGATGCTAATGCATACGTTTTAGCAGGCATGCAAAATACAGAATGCAGTAAATGGTGTTCATTGTGTAGAGCATATGCTGTCATTTGCACATATATGACATATAGTACACACTATCTAGTACTCAATATGCATTCAGTGTGCATATTATGCAAAATATATAGAATGTAGTATACTACAATGTGCATAATTTGGAATTTGCATGTATTATACATTTATTATGCACTATAAATACAATATTTAAAGGGAAAAAGAGACAATTTGGTCAAAATTTACTCACTTTTTTACTTTCCAAAACGTTCCAAAGCTGTTTGACTTTTTTATGTTTTCTTATATTCAGATATTTTGAAAAATGCTAGTGCATGGCACATTTTGACTTTCCTAGTTGTTGTTTTTTTTATTTAAACAATGTGCCCACGTAACTAGCATAACCACTAGGGAGAGTAAATAGTGAGGTAATTTTCCTTTTAATGTGGTATGTAGTGCATAGAATTTAGAGTGCATGTAGAATTTGATGCATAGCATGTTCTAGTGAACATAATACACACTGTAAACTGAAGAGTTGAGCATTCCTAATAAGTTTACAGTATAACATGCAGATTGTGTATGGATCTGGGGATGTGGAATAACTCCCATAGTGATTCATGCTGCTGGAATCCTGTAAAGCTCCGGTTGTGACACTCCTCTCCCCCTCATGCCAGCATACTCTGGGAACGCTATCATGATTCACTCCAACAGCTGCCCATCAGCTGGATCACATTTTCTCCCCTCCTTATTTTATAGACTGTAAGAGACTTTCTCAACTTTTTGATATCTTAACTGACTGTCTTGTTTCACTAATTGGAGTTTTCTTTACAAAGCAAGTTTTTATTCTGGGTACTATGTATAGTAGATTGTGGAGATATATTAATGTCAATTCAAACATTTATTATTGGCCAGAAATAATAAATCAAGAATTATTGTTATTGTTAAATTGATAAATGCAATGAATATTTTTGAGATTAAGGGGTGCTGTGATGTTGGGGTTGGGTTTAGTTTCTTTATACAGAATAATTGATCTTGCTATTATAGTGTTGTCAATTGGTTAAATATTTGTAATGTGATATAAGCACATGGACTTTTAATTTTTAGTAAGCCAGCTCAGGCTCTTCCAATGAACTGTCATGCCATTACAAAATAGCGGTGTTTAAGATCTGGTTTTTGTAAAAATCTTTGACTATGTTTACATGGATACTGTAATCAAATTATTTGCCTTAATCTGAATAAGACGATAATATAATTAGGTGTTTACATGAGTTGCTTTCTGAGTGTTCCTTTCATGATCCTGTTTTACATGTTATAGCTCATAATTTGATTAACGTCATTGCATCACCACGATATCCACGGTTCCTCCGGAGTTACATGTAATTTCGGGTGTTTCACTTTTAATTTGTAGACTTTAACCGCAGTTTGGCACTTTCACATTCATTCGGGAACCTTTCATGCATGTCGGTCGTGACAAACGAAATGTTGGATGTGAGTATGAACTGCTGGAAGAGTGTCATTTTAATGGAATTTGATAAGGGAAAAAAAACTCTGCATTTTGCGATGCAGGTGTCTGTGGTCCTTCACTGATTTGGTAGGTGCAGAGAATAGTGTCAAAGTTTGTAGACTATCCTGATGCAAAATGCATCTAAAATCCTATATGAAGGTAATAGTTTGATTGAGGTGTTTACATATCTGTACTGCACTTCAAAAATGCGACTAAATACTCCACATGTCTTAATTCAATTTCTGTTCAGATCAGTTACGACTTTAGTCAGATAATTAGAATAGATTCTATTATAAAATAATTAGAAATCAATGTTTACATGGTAGACTCTAAATCAGAGTAGTCTTAAACATAATAAAATAGTTGGAGTCCATGTAAACATACTCGATGATCTTTCCTGCCTGATTAATATACAATATAAAGTGTCTCTGACAAGAAGCACTATATTAAACTCCATTGTTTCCCACCATTTATTTAAAAAAAATGGAAATTTATTTTACTACAGTATCTTCAAATGAGTTTCTCAAAATTTGCAAAATGTGCTCGTCTGCAGCTCCTGATGACGCTTGTGTTTAAACAGTTTTTCAACATTTTATGCTTGAACAACTAAGTGAATGCTTGAGTCTATTTAACTGATTACATTTCAATTAAATTACTTTAAAAGGAACCTTACGAAATTGAAAATAGTCACATTAAAAAACAAAGGAGGAGCCAGACAAAACAAAGGAGCAAATGATTCTATCAGCAACCTAAAACTTGAACAAACTGCCATGTTTAACTATTATCGCTGCCTTTTGGAGTGTTATGAACTCAGAATGAAGGTAATACTTTCTAAGAAAAGGTTACTGTAAAAGGAACAAAATTGACAATAGTCACATTAAACATACAACGAGTTTATCAGTGACTGATAAACACTTGGTGTGCATAAAGCCTACTAAAATGTTTGGAAAAAAATCTCTCTCATAGATTCTTTCAAATGACTTATTATTTATTAGTTTGAGTTCACATGGTGTGTAAATAGTGCTTTATCATCATTTTGTGAGGATGGGAAAATAAAGTTGAATTTTCAAGTAGGACTGTTTATTATTTGTATGTATATATTGCAATTTAACTGTTTTGTGTATAATGTAAGATTTGGTTTTAGATATTTTAATAAAGTCAAAGGCTGTGTCCAAAACCTCATACTTACATACTATACAGTACGCTAAAATCAGTATGCAAGCAGTATGTCCGAATTCATAGTATTCGAAAATCAGTATGGGAGAAGTTCCCAAATGACCTTCTACTTCCTTTGAGATTCTGAAGTGCGCTTTGCATGCAAACTTCGCTATCCCATGATGCCCCCTGAGAGATTTCATGAATGAGAGAGAGAAGCGACGCAACTCACGAGGGTAGTCAGTAGTTGTCGAGTAGTACATTTTAATTAAAATGCAGTACCCACTGAGTAGTTGGCAGTTTGGGACACAGCCAGAGTCTTCTCTTTTCATTCTCTCTCTCTCTCTCTCTCTGACTCTTTTTCTGTCTCCTCCATTGCAGCCGCTCCAGTCTCAATGCCAAGTTTGAGGAGACGGTACCGCTGAATTCAGAAGAGCCGTCCTACATCACTGCGGCGGTCATCAGCATGCCGACTCCACCGGTTACTACACCCGAGGGTGTAGACTTGGCCAGCTCGCACGACTTCTTGCAGAGCAACATTGTCAGGGTGTCGGCGTTATAGACCGTCCATTAGCCGTTTGAGTATATGAGTAAACACTGGATCGACGGATCGCCCCCTAGTGTAGTGGAGGAGGCATTGCAGCAGGATGGGCCTCAGCTGGACCTGTTTTTTTTTTATTTGTTTGTTTGTTTTTTGAATCAGCTCCCATCCAGAGCTCTCCGTCAGCTCCACCTCCAGGTCATGTGACTCCCACCGGGGTTCAATAGGCTTAACCCATAGAGAAAAACAATGCCCATTGTGGTTGTTTCATTTTTTCAGTATTGTGTGTCGCTGAATTTGTCGTCTTCGATTTTGATGGGATCGCGTGATATATTTAAGGAGTGTACCAGCAGGGGCGGGATTTTACAAGCTTTTAGACAGCTCCACACACACTTTTGATACTACAAAGTAAAGCTGGGCTCTACTAAGGTGTGTGTTTGAATGCGCGCGTGCGTGTATGAGTGTATACAATTAAAAATGATCTCTTGCATGTTTTTTTTTTTCACGTAAGTCTTTGTCTTTTCGGCATGAGCAATAAGGATTGGCTCTTTCTGTCAGAATGCGTGTTTTAATTGTTAATAATTTGCCTAGTTATATATACGATATCGATCTTTCGAAACTCAGCGAGTGTGTGGGTAAAAAAAAAAGCTGTTTTGTTGCTTTCCGAGAGTTTGGCCTGTTCATCTTCTCTCTCTGTCCCACCCATGTTGTGTTCACTCCTTGCCTGGCCTGATGGGATGTTCGTTATTCTTCTTTATTTGTGGATGAGTACAAAGAAAAGCTGAACAAACTTTCTTTTCCTAAATGTTTCAGCATATTTCTGGAGGCTTGTGGACTTGAGCTCAAATACTAGCCATTCCGTTTTATACTCCAAAGTTAGCGAGTTAACTGTGAAAAAGAAAAAAATAATGTGCTTATTTATTATCTTTGTTCAAATTCTTGTGCATGTTGTCGTGGACATGGTGAAACAGGCCAGTATGGACCAGAGCTATATTTATTTTGAAAGTTATGACTCATTTCTTTTCTTCCACTCGTCGGCCTCCCTTTAAAGTGATGTACTTTGTTTTCAACAGACATCCTCACCAAGTGTTGCCATTATGGCATCTAGTTGTGTGCAATGACACTGAGAATCTTAAAGTTCGATTCTTAGCACTGTTCTATTAGTATTGTGGTCTCCCAAATTTAAAGCATGAATCTCACAAAATCATGTTCAGGTATTTTCACTCCAAAATCAATAGAAAAGAAATTATGTTTTGCATTAAATGGCAATAAAGCACACCTTCCACACATTTTAATTTACCAAATTGCACCTGATATTCATCACTGTAATACAGTATTTATAAAAGCAGTACAACATATGTGTAGTGCTTTATGATTGTTAAATATTTGTGAAGAAATATATCAATGCAGTAATGGAAATTGTATTTTTGCATTACAGTAATTAATACTGTGCATGAAATTGTTTTTAAAATATTCTTATAACATGTTAGTGACAATTGAGCACACTTTCCACAGATTTTCAGCACTACACTTTACCAGATTTGTGTTACTGCAATACATGAAGAAGTACAATAGCTGTATAGTAAAGATTATTCAAATTATTTCATTGCAGTAATGAAAATTAATCGTTTGCATTATGGTAATAATTAAAAAAAATCTACCAAATCAGCCGTATTTTCACTTGTCAATACACTACCTGACAAAAGTCTTGTCCTTGATCCCTGTTGTAAGAGCAACAAGTAATACCTTGACTTCTGGTTGTTTATTTGGAAAAGTGGCAGAGGCTAGAATTTTCCCTTGAATCATCTGTTGAACTGCATCCTAATCGTCACAAATACTGCAAAAGACGTACTGGAACCCGCATGAAGTCAAGTTTGGTGAAGAAGAATGGATGGCAACATCAACACCCTGAGGTATCAAGAAATCTGTGCTGCCCAATTACATTGCAAACCACAGGAGAGGGCAAATTCTTCATCAGGATAGCACTCCTCATACTTCAGCCTCCACATCAAAGTTCCTGAAAGCAAAGAAGGTCAAGATGCTCCAGGATTGGCCAGCCCAATCACCAGTGATGAACATTATTGAGCATATCAGGGGTAAGATGCAGGAGGAAGCATTAAAAAATGAATTTAAAGAATCTTGAATCCAGCAAGAACGCTTTCTTTGCCATTCCAGATGACTTTATTAATACTTTATTTGACTTTTGTCAGGAAGTGTATAACATGTTTAAGTTTATTTCACTATAAAATCATTAGAATTCATTGGGTATTAGTTTGCATTAAATAGTTTTAAAATAACAACATTGCAGCGACAATTAAGCACACAATTTTCCACAATTTCTGAGTATTATAATAGGTTTTTCTTTTTAAAATCAAAAGGGGTTAATCATCATGAAAATAATGCACAATTCTGTCCAGGCTTGATTTAATGTTAGCAAAATATAATTTTTTTTCCATATTTGATTTTGGGCAGAAATATGTCTGTGAGATTCATTTAGAATCTAGTATTAATGAGATATTGATTATTGATTAAGCTGTGCGCCTAAAAGATGAATGATCTCTTCTTAGATGAATAATGTCTGCCATGTCTGAAATTAGCAAGAAATTAGTCTATAATGTTGATATTTTTATACCGATGTCGGTGCAATTTGTTGTGGCGAGGAGCTCTTAATGCGCCTTGCCCAACACACACACACACACACACACACACACACAGCACTGCCCTCCTGCTCAATGCCTGCACCCATTCTTGCTTTACCATGTGACTTATGCAACAACATTCTTTTTTGTAAAGATATGCTTTGTATTAAAGGGGTACCAGGGGAATAGAATCTCACAAATGCATATTTTTAAAACTCAAATGGTGTTGATTATATATTATAAATGTATTTCAGTTGTAAAATACGAAGAAAAAAAAGAGAAAGAAAAGAGAAAACTAAGAGGAGAGAGTGTTGCTAGTGCACATGTGCTGTAAATTTGTTCTTCGGTGTTGTGAAGTTGATTACATTTTCTTCATTTCTCCTAATTTCCACGGACTGAAGATTTGATGTTTCGCAGTTTACTTTCTGGACCGACGACTACAAAGGCTGGACCATCTGTTTAGGTTTGGAGATTTTATTTCCTTTTATTCCTGTTTGGAAGACAGGATTGACAGAGTGCATGCGCTCACAGACTCACAGAGAACGTGTGTTTTTTTTTCTTTTCTTTTTTTTTCAGGATTTACAGGGGACTTTTAAAAGAGACTTCCTGTTTGTGATATAATGTACATTTAAATGACTACCAGGTGAGGATGGTCCTTTGGAATTTGTTACAGCTTGTGTTATGGACATTAAAATATATGAATTATTGAAAAACAATGAAAAAAAGAACTACAAACCAGTTGTTTAGTCCGGTGCAGTGTCTATGAATAAATAGAATTAATTCATTGTCCTATTAAAATACAGATAAAAAAAAAAAAGGCAATGGTGTTGTGATCATTGTATTGATCTTGCGGGAAAAAAAAAATTGTGAATATTCAACCCAATATTACTGCAATTTTGTTGCTAATGTAATTTCGTGGCTTTATTCGACTGTTAAGCGTGACGTTGTGCAAAGCGGCTTCCAAGTCCAAGCGCTCTACCAAACTGTATGGGGAGACTCAACAAATGGTAATAATAAACATTTACAAAGGGATGTAATACTTGCGAAAATCACGATTGCATTATATATATAAATATCCCCTTGGCCAGAAAGTGATACATTTTTTATAAATTGTTCCAATATTGGTGTTGTTGATGCAGCAAGTCTAGATACTGTTGTGTACACCATGATTTTATATAAAATTCAATTTAATGCGTGATAGGACTAAAAAGTGGTCATAAGCTAATATTTTCTCAATTCAAGTGAGCAGCGGCTTGGACTCGGAAACAGTATTTCATACATCACCGATACGTTCACGGATTGTGAAATATAACATCTCGACTTGATATAAAGCTCCAGTTATGCGACGTATTAAGTTATATTTCTAGTCAACATTTGAAGTGGATCAAAAAAGTTTATACAACTTGTCTAAAACTATCAAACATCATCCATTCTCGTTTTGGGACAATTTAAAAAAGCTTTTTTTTGACCCACTTCCTCTACCTCTTTAATTTGCAATTATGACCTGTGGTGTGAATTGTAAATTCACAATTGCCTTAATCTATGGCTTAATTTAACTCATAAAAAAAAAAAACTTCACAACACAGACATATTCTGAAAACGTAGCCCTATATACATTTCTGGAGATAGCGAATTATGTACCCAGAAGTACATGGCTTCATTTAGGGCTAAAACGAAAGCTATGGGGTGGTATGATGGCACTTCTTTTCGCGCTTACCAGCTGACTGCTTACCTCCATGCTTTTCCACTTTTATCGGTTTGTCCTGAAGCTCATCATGTACATTGGCGGACTTGAGACGCAGAGAGGAGTTGATTATGGCGTGGGAAGTGGGTGGGCGGGTCAGTTTGTGCTTTTGAAAACACTATTGGTCGGGTTTACGGAAGGAGAAAGGTGGCTGAGTTGATTAGTCAGTCAGTCAGTCAGTCAGTGATTCAGTCAGTCAGTTGACAGTGGCCTCTGGTGGATTTATGTGAAAACAGCAGGCGCAAATGGCACTCATGAGAAACATTTGAGATCTCAAAAAGCATACACAGCAGCTTCTGGTGAAATCGCGAAAACAAAAACTGCAAAGACACATAGCTCCTGGGACATATTTGGTGCTCTTTATAAATGTATATAGTGGTACATTTTCAGAATGAGCCTGAGTTGAAACTTCAGCAAGCTCCTACAGTGCACATTACATCATTTTAAAGACCCCATGAAATACATTTAGCTTGTATACGTTAGCATTAATATGTTAGCATTCTGCTAAAACTTGACTAACTTGGCAGATTCATGCTTTTCTTTATAAAATATTGACGTCATAAAAGAATGTTGTGGACAAGGAACATGTCAAAATCAATGGTGCTTACCAACCAATCATCACTTTTCATATTTACATATTATTTTCATTTTTACTTATTATTTCAAGCCCTGGCTGGGCCAGTTGGCATTTCTGCGTGGAACGCCTCCCCGTGTTGGCGTGGGTTTCTTCCACAGTCCAAAGACATGCGCTATATGTGAATTGAATGAACTAAATTGGCCATAGTGTTTGAGTGCGTGTGTGAATGAGAGAGTGTATTGATGTTTCCCTGTACTGGGTTGCAGCTGGAAGGGCATCTGCTACGTAAAACATATGCTAGAATAGTTGGTGGTTCATTCCGCTGTGGTTACCCCTGATAAATAAGTTGTTGAAATGTTAAACAAAGCTATTTGTACTTTTTGTACCTTTTTATATCAAAACATGCTTGTTTTTTATTTTTATTTTGTGAAAACGTCATAAAGCTGGACATGTTATGCAATATGAAAGTATCAATTATTCTATCCCGGTGCCTAAAATCATTTACAAATCACCACGACAGCCTACTGCGAATG